TGTTGATACTTGAGGAGTTTATGCTCAGACCACTGCTACCTATGCCTTCCTAGTTAGGAACCATGAGGTAGTTTTTTACAGGTCTATCTGAAGGATGCAAACTCACCCCACACATAGTAGCTTTTTAGCCACAATGGCAAATCCACTATCACTGTATGTCCAAAGAAACTGAAGTAGGAATGAGAACAAGTATGTTCTTAACCTGCCATGGAATGCTAAAAGAGCAATCTGGTAACAAAGAGACTGCTTCTTAAGTGTTTCTGTCATTCTGTCTCACAAGTTCCTCTTGATCTAAATTCTTCATGCAATTTTTTGACAATTTTTTTTATAGGCACCACTCCCTACTGAAGTGTCACAACATGAGTATATCAATATAGTAGTTATATTGGTAATTAATTTACAGTTGACCTTTTCATAGACAATATCTGATCTGGAGAGGACTGACCATCATTAAATATTTGTTTTGAGTAATTCCATGAGTCATCAGGAAGAAGTGGCAGTCTCCCACTTCTTATATTAATGGATCAGTTAAATCTTTGCATATGCTGTTGCAAAGCCTTGATGACAAAGAACTGGTTATTTCCAGTGCCTGGGCCAAGGCTTTTTTCTGGGTTTGAGAAGGGAGGTATCTTGGGGTAGGATGCTTCTGCATTCCTTTGAGGGTAAAAGAATTAGTTCTCAAAAGGAAACACAAATTGAGCTTCTGCTATAAGGACTAAGCCATGTATATTAGGATGAACATGAGAAAATTAATTTGGGTTATAAGTAATATTGAAAATATTTTGATCTTGTCTCAATTAGAGAGATCTTGCATGTGTATGACATGTGTGCATGTGTTGAAAATTATTAATATGCCAAGATATCTTATGCTGTAAATTGGAGGCCTTATTAACAAACATCTTAACAGAGATAAAGCTTGGTTTTGAGCCTTCATGATAAATGTGAGAGCTCATCTCTTATCCTACCACCTCAAACACACACTGCTTGTAATATGCATCACAATCCATATTTTTTCAAAGATAGCACAAGTTGGTTATCCATTTTTTTTAATTTTAATTAGGTTAAATTGAAATTTCTTGGTAAAGTAGAACAGAAAGGATGCATAGAATAGCTAAAGGTCTACCATTAAAGAAACAAAAGCTAAACATAATATATTTTTTTAACTGTTGAGTTCCATTGTACATTCCATACATAGAGTCATATAATGAATGATTTTCGTGAATTTTAGCTAAATGTATTTTAAAATATTTCTATCAGCCAGGCAGTGGTGGCACACACCTTTAATCCCAGCACTCGGGAGGCAGAGCAAGGTGGATCTCTGTGAGTTCGAGACCAGCCCAGTCTACAGAGGGAGAACCAGGACAGCCATGGCTACACAGAGAAACCCTGTCTCAAAAAAAAAAAAAAAAAAAAAACCTAAACAAATATATAAATAAATAAATAAAATAAAAATATTTCTATCAATAAAAACCTACTTAAAATAATTTTTACATTACAAGGCAGTCTGTTTGACTAAAACAGAGTCAGTGGAAATCTCTCCACAAACAAAAACACATATAATAATAATAATAATAGTTAATCTTACTTACTTGGCTCTAGGTACAATGATAAGAATTTCACTTACATTATCTTAGTTATAACAAAACCCCTAGGCGTCCATGATGCAATGCTTCCAAATCATACAAATATATAAACATATAAGAGGTTTAAAGCATTCACATCCCATAAATAAATTTTCTTGACTAGACTATTTACTTGGGTACTGAGATCCTTTTTAAAAAAATACATTTAGTTAATTACCATTTGCTGGTGCATAAAGAGTTGTTGGGCCCCATAAGGCCCTGGGTGAGGCCCAGTCTGAATTCCCAAGCCTAGCTTGAGTTTGGCGACCTGTCCTGGGACATGACTTCCGCATACCAGTGACTCAGCACTACCTGACCTAGAATTGCCTTTGCCTAGTAACTGCTGAGATGTCATCATCTCATTGGCCCGCTATCTTCACCCCAGTCTCTCTGTTACTCCAACCTATATAAGTTCACTCCTGATACAATAAAGCGAGTTCCTGCTTCTACACAACTCCCAGCCCAGGGTGCTTCTCTCCAGTGGATTGGGTGTCTGGGCTATCCACTCACCATCCCACTCAGCCCAAGGGAGAAACCAGCTGGATCAGTCCTGCCTCTGCCCTACCTGTCAGTCAGACCTACAGACTGTATCTATTTTATAATGAGTGCTAAGATAAACAATAGTGGCCTAACATTTTTCAGTATTGAGAGTTTTAAGTTTATGCCTAGGTCTCTCAATTTGAGTTATGAATTTGGGAGAATAGAGTTAAGTATCAAGGTTCCCTCAGGGTGTTGGATATTTATGTTGCATGCTATGTATTTTGTAATTTTAATTTTTCTCCAAGGTTTAATAAAAATATATTTACTTAAATCAATAACTTCTCTATTACACTTCTGAAATTGTCCTAAAACCCAAGTGATCCTGATTTCCTGCATTTCTCATGTTTCTGACTCCATTTTCTGAGTGTCCTTTGTTGCTGTTGTAAAATACCACTCATTTTGTGTTGTTACTGGCTTTGAGACTTTTTTTTAACTTTTCAAATATACACAAAACGAATCAGTGCAATGTCTCCAAATCATAGTCTGGTGTGTTGTGTAACAGGGTGAAAATTAACTGAGAAAGACATGGCAGGTTATTAAAAAATAGAAAGATATCTAATAGGAAATATTATTAAATGGTATAAAAGTTAGAAGACAATCAGAGAGAAGAAGGCAGTTCATATTTTCTGTAACCCCACATGAGCAAGGAGAGGTGCTGGTCTGGTGGATCAGATAAACTACGGTGTTATACTCACCAGAAAGTCTGAAGAAACCCTAACAGCTATCTTGTATAGACTACTGAACTTGTCACTCTGCAGGGTTTTCATAAGAATTTTTGATTACAGAAAATTACACAGTGACACTCATGGATGCATTCAAATCATGTCACAATTATACTCAATCTAATGCTCTTTACAAACACCATTAAACTATGCCTCATTCCATTTCTCAACTCATCGAGTTCTCAGATATCATTATATATATATATATATATATATATATATATATATATATATATATATATTTCTAGCTTGTGTATTTTGATGCCGTTCTTCATTTAGTCTTTAAATTATTTAATTGAGGAATAAAATATGTGCAAAAACACAGACGTGCAAGTGTAATGCTCAGTGACTTTTCAAAGACTGAAAGCAAACATGTAGTGCACACCCAGGTCAAGAAACAGACTCTTGCAAGTTGAATTAAAGTGAACTGCCCTCCCTCTTCCATCTACAACATTCCTTCCTGACATGGACTCATCAACAAACCCAGTCCCCAAACAGAAAGGGAAAATGGCCAGGCATGGGTCATGTGTTTCTACCCACCATGGCATTTTAGATTGCTCATCTCAATACAATTTCAAGTTTTAATGATACTTATAAAAAACATATTTAACCAGAATTTTCAACTTTTTCATATTTCAGACAATTGGCCTGGCAGAAACTAAAATATTCTATCTGGCATAAAAAATTTCTATTCTGTATTTGTCAATATGGGTTATATCAACAAGCAATTGGGAATGATACTAATTATTATATAATCTCATGAAGGAAACATGTAATTGAAAATGTATATAATCAATATTTCAGCATAGATTTAAAAATATAATTCTGAACATTATGAAGAAAAATACATTACAATTAATAAACCATTGGGGCTCAACATAATTATTCCAAGAAGACATGAATATAAAATACAAATGAGTCTCTCCTTAAATCACTACTGAAGGAAGATAGAATATTTTGGATTATAAATATGAACTTAAGCTTAAAAAATGATAGGTTGCTAAAGAGCAGGTTTAAGTAGGCCAAAACCTGACAATGAACATCTGAATGGGAGTAATACTAAACTTATTTCTAAATGCTGATGTGAATCAAATGGGATACAATATCTTGATAAGTTAACTGATTTTGTTTTTTTGAATGTCTATTAATGGAGGCTGGAGAGATTACTTAACAGAAAAGAACACTTGTGGCTCTTGCAGAGGACCTACGTTTGGTTCTCAGCACTCTCAAGGTGACCCATAAATGTCTATAATTCCAATTCCAGGGGACCCAGTGCACTCCTCTGACCTCTTTTGGGCACCTGACACACATGATGTATGCAGATATACATGAAGGGAAAACACTTATGCACATTACATTTTGGTATACTAATGGTGTACTTTTAAAAACTTGAAGGTCAATAAATGATTTAAGAATATTATTACAAGAAGGATCCATTCATCTCCAAGGCAACTTTCAGTCCCAACAAACTGATGAGACTAACCATCATGACAAGGTATACAAAAGCAGAAATGCACTTACTGAAATTTATTTCTGATTCAAAGCTTTCTCTACAACACATGATATAAGGATGTGTGTTTAATTATGTAACAATATGTTGCAGCTCTTTACCCTCCTCACTAAAGCACCTGATTGGCCTAATGAGGAGCGGAACAGCCAATAGCTAGGCAGAGAAAGGATAGGCAGGAGGTGGGCAGAAAGAATAAACAGGAGGAGAAATCTAGGTTCCAGAGAAGAAAGAAAAGAGGTGAAAAGGAGAGAGAGGGAGATGTCAGGGACCAGCCACCTAGCCACTCAGCCAGCTACAAAGTAAGAAAGGCATATAGAATAAAGAAATGTAAAAACCCCAGAGGCAAAATATAGAAGAAGAGAAACAGGATAATTTAAGTTAGAAAAGCTGGCTATTAATAAGCTAAACTCTTCTAGCTTCATAGTATAGTGAAAGTGACCATTTGGAGCTAGTAAAAATAATCATGAAGGTCTAATAACCATAGTTAGTAACATTGATG